TTCCTCTTTGGGGGCACCAGGCCAGAAAGGGGCAGAGTTGGGCTTGGCCTCTCCTTGCCCCGGAGGCAGGGAGAGGAAGCTGGGTCACACTAGGGCCAGAATGGGGGTGGGAGGAGACAGGAAATCCAGGTAGGTAACGAACACGGTCAACATCCAAGGGGCTCTGGTCTGCCCCTGCAGGGCTGCTGCTGCCCGGCTGAAATAACTTCCTCTAGGAAAACCCTGGGCCACGGAAACCCTCCTTCCCAACCCTTCACAAGGCGCTGTAGTACAGGGGGTGGTACCCTCTAAAACCTCAACTGCAGCCCCCAAACTCCCAGGAGTGGCCTCTGCTTGGGTGGCCTCAGGGCCCCTGCCAGCAAGGATCTCTGGTGCCCGCTCCACCCAAGCTTCAGGAGGGGGATAGTGTCTCCTTACCCCACTCCCCAGCCACTTACCCGTAACCGCCAGGCAGGTAAGCTGTCGAGTAGTTGGGGGGCTGGTACCCAAAGCCTCTGCTCCCCTGAGTGGTCGCGTATCCGGGTCCCCAGACCGGCCCGCCGCCGCTTCCCTGGCCGAAGTGGAGCGGCCCGGCGCCCGCGTTCTTGGTCTTGCGCCGAGGCCGGTACTTGTAGTCCGGGTAGTCGCGGAGGTGCCGGGCCCGCAGCCGTTTGGCCTCCTCCACGAAGGGCCGCTTCTCGTCCTCACCCAGTAGCTTCCATTGCGCGCCCAGGCGCTTGGAGATCTCAGAGTTGTGCATCTTTGGGTTTTGCTGCGCCATCTGGCGGCGCTGAGCGGAGCTCCACACCATGAACGCGTTCATGGGTCGCTTCACCTTCTCCAAAGGAAGGCCCCCAGAGACCACAGGGCTCCCAGCGCCCTCCAGCTCCTGGGAGCTCGAGGACGAGGGGGCAGGGGCCGTGGGAGCGGGAGGTTCCAGACTCCAGGCCTCGTCGTGTGAGGGGCCAGGTAGCGCCATGGAGGTGGAGGGAAGCCTTAAGAGGGCGCCTACACACCCTCCCCTCCAAAGCGAAACGTTGATCCCTAAACCCAATATCCTTAAAATAGAAATGTCTTCCTAGTCTGGAGTCGTTCCAGGGAAACTCGAGTCCTTGAAAAGTATATATCGTCCCCAAGTTCAGAGTCCTTATTCTGGAGCCCCGGCTCTCTACCAATCCGGCACTCTTTGGGAGAGTCCAGCGCAAAATCCGCTGTCAGGTACCCGGTACAGGACAGGTTGTGCTCTACTTTCCTTGTTATCCAGACCCAGTCCTGCTTCCCCTACCTGCGGCTGGCTACCGGCCCGGTGTTCGGTGGAGGTGATAAACTTCGCACTCAGTCTCTGCTACGGGCCCGGTGTTCGGTGGAGGTGATAAACTTCGCACTCAGTCTCTGCCTGGCGGCGCACCCCAGGTGCCACAGAACTCTCACCTGGCCTAAGTGTCTGTGGCAGGCGGGTGGGCCAGGCCCAGGAACAACTTTTAACGACTGACTCCTCCCCACTCCCTCCCAGCGGACCGCACCTACTTCAGAGCGCCAACATCCCCCTCCCTTAAGCAGACCCAGGTGTCACGTTCTTCCCAGCCCCCAACACCCCCTCAGGGTACCACGCCCCCTCCCCACCCAAGACCCAGAAGTCAGAGGACTTCCAGCCCCCAAAGCTCTGCACATTTTCCCCTCCCTTTTTAAATTTTGGCAATTTAAAGTCAATTCCTTTGCACAATGGGATTAAGCACAGGGACTCAAAAGCCCTCAGGGTCAGAGATGTGCTAGGAGGAATTTGGGAGTACCCCACCCCCACGCCAAACTCTTTTCTGGTGCCCATTGCTCCTCAAATCCCTGACCTGCCCCTGGGTCAAGAAAGTCGGGCAGTTAAAGGAAGGCAGTCCATTTTTGCTGTTTGAGTCATCCCAGCAGGTGCTTGGGTGGTGATTCAACTCCACTCCAGGTGAGAAAACTTAAACCCTCCCAACTCCAGCCCCCAAACAAAGGTTTCTCCAGCACATTTTATCTCTAAATCTCAGTTGAGGCTGGGAGCCAGGAACCTCAGGAAAACTACCCTGGGGCTGAGAGATGAGTGATGTGGATGTTGAAGGAAAAAACCTGGATCCAGAGCAGAGAGCTAGCAGGAATGAGAGCTGCACACCTAGGTCCCAGAGGTTGTCATGAGGGAACCCAGTTCCTCCTGCCAAAGGCCAAGCCCAAGCCCCAGGCCTCAGGTAATCGGATTAAGCAGCTCGCTTGGCTCTCAGCTCTTAGCAGGAACAGCTCCAACTAGGAGCAGCCCTACCTAGCCTGCTGTGACTCAGGGTATAGGAGTGGCCCAGCTCCCTCTACCAGCAAACCTGGGGGAGGGGAGCAGCAGCAAAGACACAAGCCACTCTCCTCTTGACCAGTAGGGTATCTGAGCTTGGGGAATTTAGGAATGTCAGGAATTCCCAAAGTAGACCATCTTTGGAACACTAAAGGAGCCAGGCATGGAGAAACAGGAAACAGGGGCCAGGGGTCAGGGCAGGTCAGACCTAGGAAAACAGTTGGGCCAAACTGGGCACAAGAAAGCATCAGGAATCTGGGAGCCATTTGGAGTTTTTTTATTCTCTTTTTAAATACTGTACAGTGAAAAATAAATACGCCTTCTCATCCACCAGACAAGGTTGGTCCCCCTTCCCCTGGGGGACCTTGTCACCCCCCTTCATAGATGCCCCTGGTTCTACTCCAAAACCTTCCCCATGCCTCCCACCCACTTATACCCTTACTATCCCCGTCTTCCACAGTGATGAGGCCCCAGAAATGGGGGGTACAGGATGGGAGGAGGGATAGCAGGGGAGCCCCCCTGAACTGTCATATCTGGGTGGGTCAAGGAGCACCCCGCACCAACAGGTGGAGAATGGGGGTGTTCAGAGAGATTGGGGCATTAGAGGATAAAGGCACATCCAGTCTGATGGGGAAGGAGAGAGGCTCCCCTCGCCCTGGGGGTAGGGTGGACAAGAGGGAGGGGGGTATGACCCTGTTACACACCCCTCCACTAGCTCCTGGAGGTTGGGGGGGGACCCAAGCTGCTGTGCCACCCCCCTCCCCCCTAGATAAGAGCAGCTCCAGCGCAGGTCAGTCGGGCCTGTGAGGGCCATGGTGTTGGGCAGCAAGCGAGATGGAGAAGGGAGGGATGCAGGCTGGAGGTTTTATGAAACCCCATTCACCAAACTACCCAACTCCAGGGGGACGGAGAGCTCCCCATTCTCTGAGGGGCCCTTAGGAAGCTTGCTGACAGAGTCACCCTGAGGCGAAAGTGGGAAAGAAAAATGGAGAGAAAAAGTGGTCAGTAGAAATTCAGGTAATGACATTCCCTACACTCCTGGCGTGTGGTGACCCAGGGGTTGGTTCCCTGATCTGACTCTCTAGCCATTCTTACTGGGTTCCAGAAAATGTGATTCAAACTTCCCTCTCTCTTCTATTCAAATTTTCCTCTATTCTAAATGTAGTCTAAGCTCCATCACATAGCCTTCTCTACAGTTTAGTAAGAGATTTCTTGGGGGAATTTTCTTTCGCCCCCTGCTCCAAAAGAACAAAAAAAAGGAGGGGCGGAGGATGTTACATCTTGCTTGCCTACCTTCTGTCCTGAAAGAGAGTCCTCTGAGGGTTTAGTGCGCTCCAGAGGTGGCCGCTGGCGGCTCTGAGATTCCGCTCTGGAGATATAGTCAGCCACAGTCACTGGAGAAGGCAGAAGACCAAGAGTTTCAGAGGGAACCCAGGTATCCAGTTCCTAGAGACCCATTGAACCCCAACCCCCGGTTTTCATAGGGTAAGAGACATCCCATTCTCTCAACTCTGAGGAAGGATGCTGGCATCCAGTGTTAGCTGACCTGGCTGACGATCTCCACTGACAGAACCATCAGTACGGTTACCACGGTTACGGCGGCGGCGGCTCCGATTACGACGCTGAGGTCTTGACTCATCTTCTGTGGGGTATGGAAAAGCAAGTTATGTATCCAGTCTCCCATTCCTCAGTTCTTGCCCAGCTGTAATTTTTTAGACCCCAGGCACACCACTTACCCAGGCCATTCTCTGTCATGCTGGGCCCATCTGATTCCAGGCCTCCATCCATGATAGTCCTGTCTTCATCAGTGCGGCGGCGACGGGAGCGGCGGCGCCTGGCACTTGCTGGGGGTGGTTCCCCGGGCTCTGAATCAATTGGGGGCTCTGGTTCAGATGTGTCCAGTAGGCTGTAGGGATTACTGTCTGGATCCTTCAGCACTGGTTAGAGGAAGAGGAGGAACTGGGAGTCAGGTGTCCACCATCTTTCCTTTTGGCCTATATTCATGAACCCAGCTGTCTGGTACTGGTACCTGAGCTAATAGATGAAGAGCTGTATCTCGAGGTGGGCCGGGGAGCAGGTGGGGGTCCCCTACCCCGGCCTCCAATTGGCCGCCTCCGGCTTTCTTCCCCCCGGATTGGGGGATCCCGGTCTCCTGGTCCAGCTCGGGTGGGCTCTTCCCTCTTCTCAGACTCAGTCTCAGAAGCTGTGGATGGGTCTGAGCTGGGGCCTAAAGAACACAGTGGGGGGTCCAATCAGGTCACTCCCCCCATCCTAGGACCCATCATGGCCACAAAACTGGAAGACGTCTCCCTCTCACTCACAAAGTCCCCCAACCAATCATCTCTTCTTCATCTCCATCACCTTTTCCTAAAGCTTCCACCCAGATCTATGCCTCTCCCCACAAGCCCCGCTAGTACTCGCCTCCCTCTCCCATAGCTGTCTCACCATAGGCAGGACCACCTGTCCTCCGGCCCCGGCCCCGGCCCCCGTAGCTGCCCCCATAGGTTCGTGTGGTGTGCAGGGAGGAGGAGGAACTCTCATCTGTGGTATATCCAGCCTTGTCACTGCCACCGCTGCCCCGCCCACTCCCAGGAGGGCGAAAGCCCAGCCCAATCTGACGAAGCTGTTCATCAATTTGCAGCCTCTCCAAGCGAAGCTGCTCCACCTCCTGGTTGGGTAAAAGATGGAGGAAGATAATGGAAGGAAGAATAAGTATAAGGTCAATGAACAATTTCCTTTCATGCTTCTCTGCCCCGACCATCCCTATATAGCTTAACTCCCAGGAATATAAGGAAGACATCGGCTAAACAAAGAAAACTCTGGGATCCAACCCCAGAGCACCAAATTCCCATCCAGTGGTTTCTGTTCCACTCAGACAAACTGTGCACCACTACTCCTAAATTTATCCAGTAGTGGTCTCAGTCCCCTTGCTCTACCTAGCTCTTTCCCCTCCCGGGCTTCCACTTGGATACCTGCAGGTAGGAGAGGTGATATTCCAGCAGAGCCTGAGCATTGCTGATATTCTCTCGGGTGCCAACAAATATGAAAGGAACCATTCCCTGGAGAGCAGAGGAAAGGACAGATGGATTAGGAGAATCAAATAAGCATTAACTCCACCCTGTCTCCTATGGAAGGCCAACCAATGGGATCTTTCTGGTTCTACATCTACTAGGAGGAAACAGAAGTTTCGTGTTCCACCCCCTAGAAATCCCAGCCCTCAGAGAAAGGCTTTGTAAACAATCCCACCTATTTCTGGATACCAATCTCTGGCGCAGTTGTCCCATACCTCCTCTCTGGGGTTCTTCTTGTCATTATCACCTTCTACTCGAACTCTCACCACACCAGATTTATCCACAATCTCCTGAATCACTTTCCCGTTCTTTCCAATCACTTTGCCTGAATGGGTAAAAGAGGAATTAAGCTTTTTAAAGGAAAGAAAAAAAGTCAAAACAGGATAAACAGTCTTCCAGCTTCTATATATAGATTCTGTTTTAATTATTCTCGTGTTTCTAGGTTCCTGGTGAGTTTCCAAAGGACAAAACATTACAATCCCTAGAAATTTATTCTTCCATTTTTTCGTCACTCCTACTACAGACTGTTTGCTTTTTCTTTATGAAACTAAAGTCCAGAGGGAGGTCCCAAGCCCAGAATCACTCTGAGAATCTCACTTCTGGCCCCTAACTATATTCTCTTTTATATATACACACCCCCAACTCACCAACCAGGTTCCTGGGCACTTGCACAGAGTCCTCAGAAAACTCAAGGTAGCTTCGGGCCTGTCGGCATGCCTCGGGAGTCTAAAAGAGGAGTGGGGAGTCATTATTAAAACAGAAGACCTGGATCTCAAACAGTGGTCTTCCTGCCACTCTCTTTGGGAAAATGTACTGACACCAAAGTCAGGGACAGAGATCAACATGACTCAGGTTTCCTTTCTACTCCACCCTCTCTTCTGTGTTTTCCCTAAGAGACCTAGATGACAGGTATCTTTTGCTGACCTCCCCATAGATGCGGAAAGTGCAGGTCTCTTCTCCCAACTCAATGGCAGTCACCCCAGGTACTTTTCGGGCCTGCTGGATGTTGGCACCATGAGTCCCAATTGCCAGTCCCATCAGGTCCTCTCGCACTGTGAACTCCTCTTGGAATGCTGCAGCCAACTGCTTACTGGTCTGAAAGGAAAAGGCACTATAGGAATCATGGTGGTGGAATCTCAGAACACCTGTCCCAGGTACCTGATGCTTTGCATAACTTCAGTAAGAAAAAATGTGTGAAAGCAAGCCAGTACTACTCTGGAGTCCACTGACCACTAGGACCTGTGTGGAGAATTCAGGAACTTTTCATTCTACTCCTACCTTCCAAATACCAACGACTTTGGGGGAGGGGAGAAATCAGGACAGAGCTTAAGCTGGGAGCCACCAAAGTTCTGGATTTGGCTCTAATACTATCTGGTTGTGTGATCCTAAACAAAATACACACTCTGTGCCTCAGTTCTGTCATATGATAAATGATCACACCTGACTTACTCCATTCCCAGACTATCAAGAGGATTAAATAAGACTGGTGAGCAAGGACTTTTCACAGGTAAATGCAAGTGTAAAGAATTATTACCTCAACCAAACTAATATCAACTACCAAAATAAAACCCGAAAAGTTGAACAGAAAGCAAGAGGTTAAGAAAAGCATAAAAGGGGGCTGGCCGAGTGGCTCGGTTGGTTAAGAGCATGAGCGCTAAGCAACAGAGTCGACGGTTCCATTCCCACATGGGCCAGTGAGCTGCGCCCGAGCTGAGTTGCCAACAGGTGGCAGGATGGCACGTGCTCCTAACAACAAGGTTGCCGGTTTGACTCCCGTATGGGATGCTGGGCTACACCCACCCACAACTACGATTGAACACGGCACCTTGAGCTGAGCAGCTGCGAGCTGCCAATGGGGCGACGGACTAGGAGCTGAGCTAGCTGCGCCCTCCACAACTAAGATTGAAGAGGAACTTGGCTGTTCTCCTTTCCCAATTCCCCAATAAAATCTTTAAAAAAAACCAAAAAACAACAACAAAAGAAAGAAGAGCATAAAAGGAGCCTACTGAACACCATACTATTTAATTTCTTAACCAGTCCTTTGTGGGATCTCTGGGTACAAAGGCAGGAAGACAGGAAAGGTTCTATAAGAGTGAATCCTAG